AGCAGCAGCAGCAGCAGCAGCAGCAGCAGCAGGTTCAAGTAGAGAAAGCAGCAACATTGGTGCTGCCCCTCTGGAGGATTTCTCTCAGCCTCTACAGCGGCTCGCGCAGGCCCTTCGAGTCCCAGCTAGCCATCCAGCTAGCCATCCAGCTAGCCAGCTAGCTAGCCAGCTAGCTAGCCAGCTAGCTAGCCAGCCAGCTAGCCAGCCAGCTAGCCAGCTAGCTAGCCAGCTAGCTACAGACCCCTGGGATGCCTTTGAAGAGCTCTGCAGCAACCTCGAGAGAACCGTCAAGCAGGCGGAGTTCGTCAACGTCGAGTGGGAACACACAAAAGGTAAAAAACCCTAAACCCTAAACCCTAAACCCTCAACAACCAAACCCTAAACCCTCAACTGCTAAACCCTAAACCCGCAAGCCGTAGGTAAACTCGCCCCACCCACTTTCTGAACAGCCGCAGAGCGGCTGGTTCTTTCTTACAGCTCAACGGTGGCTGGCGCAGCCCCTCAAGACACCTAGGGTTTAGGGTTTAGGGTTTAGGGTTTTAGAGGAGTATGAGGGTTTACTTGCATGCAGGATCCCCCACATTCCAGGCCCTGCTGGCCCACCCCCTGGCACGAACTCTGCCAGCTGAGCTTCAGCGGTGGTTGCTGAGTTCTATCTCATCACCAGAGGGTACAGTTGAGTCCCTAGGGGCCCCCGGGGCCCCTCTAGGGGGCCCCCAAGGGGCCCCTGGGGGCCCCCCAGACACCAGCCAACAGGCTATGTCTGCATGCGTCGAGACAGCACAGAAGCTAGTGAGATGCGCGGGGGCCCTAGCTGTTGCAATGGGGGGTTTAGGTGATGGAGGGGGGGGCCCCCAGGGGCCCCCGGGGCCCCCTTGGGGCCCCTCTTCTGTAGGAAATTCAACTGTAGTGACACCGCGAGGTACTGAAGAGGGTACTGGTACTGGTGAGGGGCCCCCTGGTGGGTTGGATGCTGCTGAGGCGGAGAGGAGACTGAGACAAGAAACAGCTAAGAGGCTGCAGCTGCAGCACCAAGCAGCAGCACTACAGAGAAGAGTAATAGAGCTAACTGAAGACCTAAAGGACTCACAACAAAGAATTGAAGAACAAAAAGAAACAGAACGAGAAATCACAAAA